TAATATCCGTATGTCGAACCGTCACCAATCGCGTAATATAAAATGTACGATAGTTAAAAGAAATGGCGTATAATATTAAAAAGTTATTAAGAGGCTAATTTATTTAGGGCCCCTAAGCATGTGGTTAGTGGTCGATAGAGCTGTCCCCTGTCCCTTTCGTTGATTACCTAGGCGGTGTGTGAAATAATAGTTTTCGGGGATCCCACGGTCCTACAAATATAGAAATAAGTTGTGAATATAGAAATCAGTTAACCCTAACCCTAACCCTAGCCCTAACCCTAATCTTAACCCTAATTCTAAAATAAAACAAAATTAATAATAAATAAAATAAATAAGAGACAAAATTAGCCAATCAAAGCCGTCCCCTAGCGGATCACTATCTCTCCCCTGTGCAAAATTCTATAATATCGTCAATATTCTTTATACAATAACCCGCCACCACGACCACGACCACCACCCATCGTTACCGTATGTTTACGAAATATATGATATCAGATGCATCTTTATCTGTGGGAAGCTAGTCAACACGTTATATATGCTTAACCCTGCTATATGTGGGAAAATATAAGACCTGACATGCAGTACAACTTGGTTTCTAGAAGTGCACGAATACAGTGGTCCTCGTTTTATCAGGCCTGGGATAAAAGGCCGCACCGCTTAAGCGACATGTCTTAAACACACACATGTGTTAAACATGTGTCTTGACATGTGTTAGGAAAACACTCATTACGCACGATGTTACGTTGTGTTTTCACCGCTTAATCGGGACCACCGCTTAATCGAAACATTCTTATTTCCGACTTATCCTGATATTCAAAGCAGGGAGAACTGCACTTATTGAGGAAACAACATTAGGAGTACGCAATGTAACGAGTCAGCTATTGGAAGCAGAGGGTTTAATAAATTAATTAATAACATATACTTCATATGAAATACGTTATACGTAATGAAATACGTAATAGTAATAGTAATTTACGAAAAACAACATATATACCTCTCAACCATCTCAGATAGAAATTGTTGTCCCAGTGCGGCCTGGCGATATCTTGCACTTTCTGTTTGAACTGTAACGTAAGAGAGAGATGCGCATTTAGTTTAATTACTATAGTTCAAGGGTCGAATTCTAAGTATTTCGTATATTAGCGCACGCCAATTTGTATTTATTGCCACTTGTTCAACAAGAAATTATAGAACAAGAAACTAACAAAGAAAACATTTCTTTCCTAGAAGAGTTGCACATGGAAGGACATGGAGGAAGGACATGCACTCTTTAATAAGACTTTTTTTATGTAGAGCAAAGAGGAGCACGGGTAAG